CGGCGCGGCCCGGAGTCTGTCATGGGGTGAAAGACCCGTCATCTTCAGTCAGATCGTTTCCAGATTTTTACTGGTTTTATAATTTTAATGCTTATGTACTTTTATTGGAAAAAAAAGAAAAAAGCAAACAAACAAAACCCTTTTGTCAGTTTACTTTAGGCATAGCCCGGTGGATGTGCACAGGTTCTGAGAGCGCTTGAGGAACTTGGGGCCTGTTTCTCAACCCGTGGCCACGTCACTGGCAGTGTCGGCACTTTGACCTCCTGCTCTGTGCCCGAGGACCTGTTGGTGCTGTCACCTCCCTGCACAGCCTAGTGAGGCCCCGCTCCTGTCCCAGAACCCCAGATGAGATTCTGATTCCTTTTCCTGGAAAGAAATCTCTAAATGAATGTGTACGGCCTGATGAATGTCACATATTAGACCTACAGTTTCTATTATTCTGTCCTAGATGTACTTCTCCACTTTTCTGTTGTGTTTTTGTTAGGATATGTGCAAATTAAAACAAATCTTGGAGATGCAAAGGCTAGACTGAAAGCCAACTCATGCTGCTTATGAAAATGTGAAGTAATGGATGCTTGTGAAAAGAAACACAAGGAAAATAATGTGCCTTCTTCTAATATGTCTCTGGGAATCAGTGGCTTAGAGAACAAACAGAAAGTATATCTTAAAAAACACTAGAAGGAGAAGATTTAACATCTGTTATGATTGATCTGTTAGTTGCAGTAAAAGTTGCTGCTTGCATGTGGGTCTGTTAGATTTTGCCTTGCCATGTCAACCTTTATCATAAAGCTTGGTATAGATCTCAGCTTGCCTTGCTTAGTCTCGGTCTCTCTTCGTTGGCTGCAGGTGTTGGATTTCAGTCACGCAGTGTTTTTTATCTAGAGTAGAATGAACCTTTCACTTTCTGTCTCAGTGCTGCTGTCCAGCTGCTGTTTCTAGAACTTTGTTAGAGGTTGGAGGAACCGATTACCTTCTCTTCTGGTTAGTCTGTCTTACTGAGCTGCTTAGAGGGCCATCCTGAGACTGCATCACCCAGTGAGCAAAGGCACGAGCAGGAGCAGAACTGAAGTATAGTGATAGAAGTGGCGCAGTGCTCAGCAGCCTAGCGGACTTGTCTTCTTATGTAAGCCTTTTTTGTAGAGAAACGTGTGTAAGGATCCTATTATCACCTGTTCTTCAAATGTTTAAATATTTATTTAAACATTTTAAATATCTAAATACTTAATATTTAAATGAAAGGCTTTGGGTTTGATTTGTAAGCCATTAATCTCAGCAACGGTACTTGGAAATGGCAAGTGTGCCTTTTTCCATATGAAGAGCACTTGTTGCAGTGGTGTTTTCTGTCTGTAATTGCTGGCTGTTGTGTCTGTAGGCGATGGAGCACCCACGGGTAACTATGGCTATACCAACAGTGGATACAGTGTATATGAGGAAGAAAATGAAAGGTTAACAGAAAGCCTGCGTACCAAAGTCAGTGCCATTAAATCAGTAAGTATGTAATTACAGTATCATCATCGCAATGTTGAATTAAATTACAGAGACTAGTGAAGCAGTAGACTTAGTTTAGAACCTAAATTTAATGCAAGGAAGAATTAGGGTCAGCCAAAATGCACAATGCATTAACTTGTGTGGCTGATTTTTCTTGTTAGGCTGTAGCTCCAGGTGTCCTTTTTGGATAATCTGGAGGATAGCTACAGTGTTATCCTGCTAATTGTCCTAGAGAATGAATCACTGTCCTCACAGAAACTAGAAACTTGACTTTAGGTTAATGAGTGATCTACCAATAAATTGGCTCTGGTTAATTAAGAATTTGGACTACTTCAGAAGAAGTTAATAGGCCAGAATGATGATAACAAAAATGTGTTGACAGATCTGTAATGTGTAATAGCTGTCAGAAATGAAGGCTGATGTCCTCTGTAAAGGAAACTTTTTGTATGTAAGACTAGCAGGAGATGCTCTTTTTGTAAATATACAGGCCAGTGAATATTATAGACCTAAACCCATTCTAATTCCTACTGCTATTAAAAATAAAGTCATCTGTTAGTCTCAAATCAAAATTAAAACCTTTAGTTTAAATGAAGAAATTATCCATGTAAGTGATTTAGGATAAGTTAAGGAGGCAAAGGGCAAAGCTTTGGCATAGCCGTTGACAGTGCCGCATGAGTAGCATGTGTGCTCTTCCTGCAGTTGTGTCTTCTCCTGCAATGGAATAACCTTATGTTATGGAATCATCTTTAAGTTGTCTACCTAGAACCCTCTTGTAAAATGATTTGCAGTCTTGATATGATTAGAGATTGCTGTGAAATGCAGCAGTAAGAAATCATGGAATTGAGGTGATGGCACAAAGATACATGGGCTTTGATTAATCCAAAGCATCAGGGCTTGTAGCACTTTTCCCTTCTGGAATGGATGGAATGGATTTTATGTTGTAATTATGTATAATTGATAAATGTAATTCTTTTGTTTTTTTTAATAGCTTTCAATTGAAATTGGGACGGAAGTTAAAAATCAAAATAAAATGTTATCAGAGATGGTAAGTGTTCAGTTACTTAATCTTGTCCCATATTTAAACAAAACTAATATAAAATGTTCCTTTTTTAGTATAAATTACTGCATTAAAATATTGACAAGTTATTATTGTTCATAAAATATGACCAGTTCAGCAGCAAGATTTCTGTTCACAAAGAATGATGTGCAAGTGTGGTGCTCTGAGGACGACCAGCCAATGTGGTTTAACTCAACATATGGCTCTTTTGAATTAGCAAGCATATACTATTTAAAAGGCAGTTCTGTGTTATTTGGACTTAATATTATGAAGGAAGCAAAAAAGGAGTGTTTTTTTTCTTCTTTTTTTAAAGAAAGCACATACACATTTTTTTGCTTAAAAATGACTTTGTTGTGGGAGATGGGTAAGAACATTCTTGGATCAATGGGCTAAAATTCCTGCTAGTTTTTAGAAGACTTGGAAGAATTACACTTGGCAAGGAGGATACTTGGTTTTCTCACAGTAACTTGGCTTTCTTTTTTTTTTTAAACATAGGACGATGACTTTGACTCTGCGGGCGGACTTCTAGGTGCGACAATGGGCAGACTGAGAACACTCTCCAGAGGGAGCCAGACCAAACTATTATGCTACATGATGCTCTTCTCATTGTTTGTTTTTTTTGTCATATACTGGATTATTAAACTGAGGTGATAAAAAGTTATCTTCAGTTTAATTGGTGTAATTTCAGCCATAAAACAGTCTGAATTAATGAATACAGTGATCTAAACTGACATATTCTGTCAAAACATGATATTGCAGTAATTGCATTAGGTTTTAATGCAGTGTTATATATATTCTTCTTAATGTATTAGAAACTTTCACATGAGCCCCTCTTTTAGATGGGTTATTTGTAGATATACAGAAACCACTAGCACATAAAGTCGCCTTTTATAGGGCAAAATATATTTTTAGAATTAGCTTAAACAAAAAAGCCCTCTGAAACAAATATTGTTCAGGTAAGAATTCAAATGAGAATTGTGGAATTTTTTCTTTGTTTCTGCTTTTCATTCTGGACCATACTGTAAATTAGGGCTTCAGTTTCAGGCATGTAGTCCTGGAAGTACAAAGAATACTTGGATTTTACTGAATTGATTTTTATTTATGGGTTTTTAAAGGAATGGCTTGAAGCTAACAAATGTAAAAATGGTGCCCTCAAAACTAATTTTGATGCCCAAAGGGTTGAGGGCTAATAGTTTATAGATTCTGGAAGATTCAAAATTATGTTTTGTGAAGAAGCTATGTAAAACTGGATTTTTTTAAAAAAATTAGACAGTGATACTTACACTTGTATTTAAACAAATGCCTTTAATCATTCAGATCTCTCAATATGGGCACAGTAAAAATGTTTTCCATATGTTTTATATTTAAAGTTTCTGCAATTTATTGATTCCATTGAATCACTAGAACTTTTACCAGCTGTATATTCACTTTTCCATTAATGATCTCTAAAAGTGTATGATATCAGAAATGAGGTCAGTTATTTTGACTTTAATACTGAGGTGTAAAATGATGCACCTGTTGAAGGTGCTTTCATGTTAATGTTTTCTTACGACTTATTTTTGGCTCATCAGATAGTTTCTTGTACTAAAACATTGCTGAGTTCAACACTTAACAGAATCAAGTGTTCTAGCAATTGAAATTGTATCTACATATTTTACTAACTTTTAGAAACAGTCTAGATATTGCCCTGAATAAATTAATTACAAATTGATAAATAAAGCATCCCGTAGTATTCTAGGTATATGTAGGTTTTTTATACACATTCTTTCCTCATGTAGAATAATGGACTTTTTAGGAATTGTTGCTACATGTAAGGAGTTAGAATTTTGAGAGGATTGCTATTAATATACAAAAATGGTGGTGCACGCTGTCTGATTCTTTTATGTTAGGTTTCATATTTTAATAACAGTGGGTAGATAAATCACTTGTTTAATGCAGTACTTTTACACCAAGTATGTAAAAGTGAATAAAATTCAACCATTTGTAGCTAGTTTAATCTTTGACTGTTAAGAGATCGAGAAAACGTCTGTTTTTTTTTTTCTTAAAAAAAAAAGAAAATCTGAATATTAATGCCAGAATAATGGATGTTCTTCATTTAAGAATTAGTAAGCTTGTTAAGGAGTCTAACACTGCCAAAGCTAACCCAGAGGATATAATTTGCCATCCAAAATTGATGCACTTTTATAATTTTAATGAGACTGTGGAGTGGTGACAACAACTTTTTTTGTAATCCAGCTGCAAACAGAAATAGTTTTTTATTATTAATGGTAATAAATGAAAATGCATAAATACAACTAGTTACTTGAATGATGTATTTGCTTTTGAAGTCTCTTACTTGCCCTTTAGGGCATGTGTAAAGTAAACAGAAAGAAACTATTTCAGTTTTAGAACTTTACATTAAAAGTTTATTTGTGAAGTATCTTCTAGAGTATCCAGAAAGTATCTTTTTTTCTGAAAGAATACTTTGCTTTTACATCATAGTCACTTTTTTTTCCCCAATTTTCTTCAGTAATGGGATGATAGGGGAGTAAGAGAGGGAAAAGAAATGGTAAAAATCTTACACCTCTCTCTTCCTTTGTCTTCTCATTTAGAGTTGTCCTTTTTAATATTTATCTAGACTGTACTAAGTTGAGGCAGGAGAGAGAGTGGGAAGAAGAAAGTTTAATTGCAAGAGTTGTAATGAAATATTCAAATGGATTTTTTAATTTATATTTTTAGAGGATGAATATGACTGTGAATAACCTGTTAGCAAATGCACATGGACTTTTTAATTAAATGGAAATAAGTTCTTTAGGCTGTCTTAATTTAGAATATGAACGTTTTGAACTGAAAGGCAGATAAATCAATGTTACATATTCAATACTGTTTCACATTTTTGTATGTCTGTTTTACATTTGGAGCAAGTACAGGATATAAAATGCTTCAGTTCACTTCCGGGAAAAGGTAATTTTCAGCATAAGATCTGAGAAATCCTATGAATTTTCTTTGAAAAGGTAAGATAACTTGTGCAAAAATGGAACTGTCTCAAGAATATTTAATTAAGGGAAATGGCTACTGAGGGGATCCATTCTTTGCAGTTTCAGAATTTTCTTCTGCTTTTGGTTTCGTGGTTGTTTTCTGTTAGAAAACTTAATCTAAAAGTCTTTGAAATTCATAAACAATAGTTAGCAGATTTCAAAGTGTTATACTATGGCCTTGTAATAAAATATGCTATACATAGGAGGTTATAGAAAAATAGTATTACAGATTGTGCTTTATTGTATCAGTTGCATGAGAATGCTGCAATATGCCCATTCTTAATCTTTTTTAACACAATTTTAACACAATATTTTTATATTGTTTTTCAGATTATTGTAATAGATTCTTCCTAACAGCTATATGGCAAGTTCCATGGAAAGGGAAATACCATATTTTAAATATTAAACTGTTAAGCTAACAGTACCATGGAAATTGCTTGGAAACTGCTTAGTACTATTGTTTCATTATCAGGACAATTTTACTGATTTTATTATTTTTTTTCAGGAAGACAGGCTATACCTTCTGACTTGAAAAGTGTTTTTTAGGAAGAGTTGCTGATGTTGTTGAGGAAAGTGATCCTGCCCCTCTGCTCAGCCCTGGTGAGGCCACACCTGGAGTATTGGGTGCAGTTCTGGGCTCCCCAGTACAAGAGGGATGTGGAGCTTCTAGAGAGGGTCCAGCAGAGAGCCACGAAGATGATTAAGGGACTGGAGCATCTATCGTCTGAGGAAAGACTAAGTGAGCTGGGCCTGTTTAGTCTGGAGAAGATAAGATTGAGAGGGGATCTGATCAATATGTACAAATACCTAAGAGGAGAATGTAAAGAGGATGGGGCCAAACTCTTCTCAGTGGTGGCCAGTGACAGGACGAGGGGTAATGGGTACAAATTGAAACACAGGAAGTTGAAACACCTCCATATGAGGAAGAACCTCTTTCCTGTGAGGGTGACAGAGCCCTGGAACAGGTTGTCCCGAGATGTTGTGGAGTCTCCTTCTCTGGAGATCTTCCAAACCCACCCGGATGCCACCTGGAGCAGGGCGGGGTTGGAGTAGATGATCTCTAGAAGTCCCTTCCAACCTTAACCATTCTGTGATTTTTGAAGGTATAGCTGATACATCAGTAAACATAAAGAAAAAGATTTTAATAAGAACAAGCTAAGAATTGTTGCTTATCATTCTGGACATATATTGCAGTAAGATGTTTTGAGTGACAAGACATCTTTTGAAAGTGTTTATTACACACTTCTGCTTTAAGGCAATTGCACCACCTCTTACAAGTATAAGGAATGACAAGCAACTTTGTTATTAACATGTTATGTTTATTTTTTTCATTAATGATTACAGAGAAAACACGGTAATCTTACTGAGGAAATTGAGGCCTCCAAAAGCTTCACATATAGTTAAACAGTTGTTGTAGACTTTAAAAACAGAAGTTAGTTCTTGCTTCCACCACCAAATGTCAATGACAGAGCATAATACAAGTCAAAATGAACATACTGAACATCATAGTTCCCTGTGTTACTGTCTACAGGGTAACTTGGGATTTTTACTCAGTTCTGTTGAAGGAAGTCAATTTGACAGTTGCCAGCTAAAAGTGAGAACTGTGGAAGGTACAGTTAATTGAGCGCAAAATTACTGTTCCTGTATTTGACTACGGGAGGGAATAATTTGTGCCATAATACTATGCTTTCAAGATGAATAATTTATTGTAGCTTTAAACTGAAATTTGTTTAGGCTACTAGGGGAGTTTTAACTATAGCTGTATGTTTAATTGTTGACTTAGATACTCAAAAACTGTATTTTTTTGTATTTTTCAAAAGTGTCCTTTTTCATTGACTAGAAAGGAGATGTGTTTAGTATTGGTGCTTAATATGGCTCACTAGACCCCTCAAAGCATTAGCCACTCTTCTAAATGAAAAATCTTGCAGTAAGCCAAACGCTTCTCATCGACATAAATTTGATATTGACAAATATGTAGAACAAGTGATGCTGGTTAAAGACTGTGACAAGCATTTCGCTGACAAAATTACTGATAAGTTTTCTGTTTTACCATTGAAATATGTGTTATTCTGTTACACTTGGTATGTAGCAAAAGCCATACTCTTTGAGTTCTTACATATTCAAGAGAGTAGGAGTTACTTCTTTGGAAGTGTTTCCATGTATTTGCATATGATAGAAAGCATGGTTTCATCTGTACCACCTCCTATTGATGTCAATCTCAAGTCTCTGTAGAAATAGAAAGCGCAGGTTAATACATTTGCATGCTATATTGATAGAACAAACACAGATTTGTTGTTCTGTGCATTTAATATGAAGCTGCTTTTATTACATTGAAACTTCTTGCTTACAGAAGCACATACACTACACACAGGTGTTAACAGCACTGTAAATACCTCTGTGTAGTAGGACACTGCTAGTTCAATATCAGAAAGCTTGAGATGTAATCTGGCATGCTCACTTTTCAGATTCTTTCTTTCACGAAAAATCCTTAACTTGACTTTCTAAGTATTATTATTAGCCTGGTCTAAACCCAGCAAGAGCCCCTGCAGCTGAACTCTGAAGAGGCTTCTGTTTAGATCCCATCAGTGTGGATTGGTGTGTAATGTGTCACTGGCTCTTGCCATGGGGTTCTGGCACAGTTCCAGGACTGCTTGTTGAGTCACTTCTGTATTACATGCTTATGCCAGTTGTTAGCAGAACGCCTTTGCTACACCTCCTGTTATTGAGATGGTCTGTAATGCCCCTTGAAACATCCCTGCTCCTTTGCAGTTGAATTTTAAGAGTAGAGGGAGAGTTGGGGAGCAAGCAGCAAAAAGTGCTGCAGCACTAAACTGTGCTCAGCTGTTGTGGTGAAGAGTTGTCCATTTATCCGTAAGGTGCAGTAGGATTATATGTTCTTGAGAAGCATCCTGACCTCCCTCAAATGTGGCAAAACTTTAGTGTTAGTCTTTATCAGCATTACATGGCTCTGCTTTAAAAACGAAAGGTTGCTCCAAGCCTATTTAATTTTGATTTGACGGTTCTAACAGGACTCATTTAAAAGCTGCGACTTATAGCACAGTCATCCCCAGCAGTATTGCCCAAGTTCCCTGTGCTATCCGGGTTACAAACTATGTGCACCTTAGGCAGTTTGCTTCAGAAACTTCATTCTCTGTGGAGACATCCCCCTTACCCCACCAAACAAATCAGTTCTAAACTGCCACTCTTCAATTCAATAGCCTGACAATTTCCAACCTTCCTATGGGCTTTGTTGGAGGAAACAGAAATAGAATAACAATATGTTGTTATTTCTTCGTGCTGTGGTACTCTCTGCTTTTTCAAGCTGCAGAAACCCCCGGCAGTGCTTAGCATCTTGCATCTTTGCAGCACTGTCCTCGCAGTAAGTACTTAATTCTCAAAACTCCTGTGTAATGCAGATAAAAATCCTCAATTTGCAGTAGGAATCCTGGACACCTGCAGGTTGTTTATATGAAATTATAAATAGGCAGGGGTAAAATCTGGCTCCGGTGCTGTGTTTTGGACTAATAGCCATTATGTAAATATATTTGTTTATATTAAAAAAAGAGTGGTGTGGAGATATGTCTGTAGAGAATTACTTATTTTATTTTTGTGTCTGGGTAAGAAAAGAAATAGTGCCTTTAGTTTTGATAAACAGGCAACCAGTGCAAATCTCTTTCCAGTGGAGAATGGACAGAATGTTCTACCTAGATTAAGAGGACCAAGATGACAAATGAATTTAATGATATTAATCTAGCAGCCTTCTTTTGGGAAAGAGAATCGCTGTCAACATAAGGAAATAAAAACACGGGACTAACTATTCTGTGTGAATTCTATGAGGAAGCTGGGGAAGGTGGCGTAGGAAGCTAGACTTGTATATAAGCTTATTTTAAGTCTGTAGTTTGATCTTTAATAATTTATCAATATAACAAATGCATGCGTATACATGTATATGTATGTGAATATACATATATATGTATATAAGAAATGTTTCAGGCAAGCTTCTTCTGCAATGCCTTCGTTCTGAAAAATTAACACTTTGTTTCATTGCCACCTCACTGCATTTTTTGAAACATCTGTAGTATCTCTGGGTGGTTGTTATCTAGGGATCAGAGGGTCATGAGGTCCAGCTCTTTGTAAGGCACAGGCATTTTAGGCCTTAGTGCAAGGCATTCCCCTTAGGCCTTGGGAAAGCTACCCTGTAGCAGCTTGTACAATATATTGTTAAGGAACTGAGGAATAAGCCCGTAACGCACTGAACAGCTTTGAGGAATTGAACTTTGGCTATTGGTTGAATTCTGTTTTCCTTCAAGGAAGTGGTGAGGAACAGACTGTTCAAGTAGTTTGCCTGAAGAAAAAGATAACATTTTTATTTTATTCCGTTAATCCTGAAATACTCCCTGAAAATAGTTTAGTCTCATTCACGAGATCCCATGCACCTGAAACATCAACTTTTAGATGGTAAGATTTATTCTGCTCAGCACAGTCAAAGAGATATAGATGCATTTTTTTTTTCCTTTCCACGGATGAAAAAACACTTACGTCTTCAGTGCTGAACAGAAGAATTAAAAGGGAGGGTGAGAAGCCTTTCCACCCACAGAACTCAAGCAACTTTATCAACAATTTATGGTTAGGTAGCAAATGCTACAAAAAGGACCCTCCAGGTTGTCAGTTCCCCGTCTCAATAGGTACTATAACATATAACCTCCTTCAGAAATGTTTCAAGGACTGTTTTAAGGGAGATAGTTATGCTATTTTTTTCCACACAATTTGCAGTATTCTAAATTGAAGGCTGTCATGTAACGAACTAGTGATTAAGAACCCTATAATTTACAGCCCAACCATGTTCCTAACTAATAGAATCCATTTAGTGTGATGCCAGTTTTGCTGTTATCCTTCAGTTTAATTCTCCTGGCTGATATTTACCCCTTTGCTGTACCCACAGAGAACAATTCAGCCTTTCTTTTTCAAAAGCCAAGCTGCATGTTTTTATTATATATAAGGTAAATCTTTTAGTCATCCTAAAGATCAGGGCTGGTACTTGTTTGAGTTCTTCTGTCAGAGCACTTTTACTAGGTGTTAAGTAGGAACATGACCCAAAATCACAGTGAGGACAGGGCTAGTGATCATCAGTAAAGTTTTTGAACTTGCAACACTCTGTACAAGCACAGTTAACACCATCCTATAAATCACTCTCTTCCACCTCAAACCCATAGAAAGTTGTAGCATCTTGTAGCTCTGCATGCTACAGCCATTTACTACCAACAATCAAAGGTCTTCCTTTGCTCATGTCCCCACTCTAAATTACATTTCCCTCTTGAAATCCACGTGGTATTATGATCTGAAAAGCCCTTTCTGCTCTCAAACAGTGTGAAGGAGACTGCTATGCTATCTTCACATAACTTTAAAAGCCTGAAAAAATACATGAAGTCTTTATCTTCCCCTTTTTGGCAGGGAAAGTTGGAATTACCAGTGTTCCTTTGATGTGGGGAAGAAACTGAGAACTCTGTTGGAGAGTTAGTTTTGGCTAATGCAACTGTGTGGGTGCTTATTTTCTACATCAGCCTGACTTCCTTCTGGCAGTGATTTCTCAGAGGTTTTGTTCTTTGCTTCCCTGGTTGGGATGGCATTGGTACTGTGTCTTGCTAAATCCTAACCATTTTTTTTTCGCTCAGAATAATACTGATTTCCAAAAGGCTACTTAAATACTGCTTCCTTTCAGCACAAGATGCACTTGATCACAAAGGCCAACACTTTTTCCGCACATTATCTTGTTAAAATTGTACTAGTAGCAAGATTTTTCTCAACAAGATCTACTGATATACCCTCAAGATTAATATCTTACAGTCTCTTTTCAGCTAGATTGTTTATCTAGCATGATCTAAAAGAGCCTTTAATCTAGAGGGAGATGGACCTGATATTATACGCTATGGTGGCGTTAGCCATACTAGCACAGAATAGCTAAGCAGTGGTTGTGCACAACAATTTTCATGCCCTTGCCCGTTTCTTCCAAAGGGAATTTTGGGGGAAAACAAACAAACTGCAGGAATGGGAATGACGTTGGCCTATTCTGGGGCATGACTCCACTTTAAAGTCTAATCACTGTGTGGGTTACCTACTTCAATTTTTCATATTAGAGCTAGATGTGCTCATTTTTCTAATTACCTTGTATACGTGGGTATGCAAGACCATAATACAGCAAAAGCAGATTTCCAGAATGTGCTGTGCTGTCTGAAAGCAGGCCTGTTTTTCCCCTTCTCCCCCTTTTGTTGCATTCTCCGCTCTTTCCCCTTACTCCTAGCATAATCATGCGAGTGCAAACTTTCCTGCCTTCCACATCAAGCCCAGGCCTAAAGTAATTCTAGTTTAATCATCCTTTGAAAAGAATGAAAGAATAAAAAAAAGAAGAATGAGGCTGAATATTTCAATCACATTTTAAACATTTGAGGAACAAACATAATTTAGAAGGAAATGATGTATGTACTTTAAATAAATACAACTTAAAAGCTGTATGGAAGTTTGATTTTTTACTTATCCTTAATTAAAAATAAAAAGTCATATTGGACTAACTAGATGACCACAGAAGGGGAAAAAAATATATTTCTTTCTCTAACTCTATGTATTTGGCAATGCTATTTGTATCCTATCTCTATTTCACATGAATAACTGATCAATACTTTCTACTTCTGCTTTCTTGAACCTTTTGCAGTGCAGCAAGGAAAGCAGTGTAGCATTCTTTCTATTAAAGCCCTACAAGAACAAAATTTTTAAAAAATTAGCAACAGTTGGAACAGTGTTAAGTGACTGAAATGATCTTAATAAAAAATACTTTTTTAAGAAGGTGATTTGACAAATTGTTTTTATTTTTCTGGAAGTGCACATAACTGCTATTCAAATACACAGACCAGTAGATGAAAAAAGAAAATCTTGTGATGAAGTTTGAAAAATTGCAGTATATTTGCTACAGCTTTTTTCCCATTCTCTGATCTCTCATAACCTGGGGTTTTCATATAGATGGAATGTTTTTCAGTAATTGATCTTTCCTAACTCATCATATCTTTGAGGCATTTGTTGGAGGCCGGGCTGGAGAGGGAAGAAGGAGAAAAATAAACCCCAAACTCCAGTCTGTCTCTCTCTTTCTCCAGAATTATGTCAGGAGAATTATGACTTGTATAATATATTTCTATTAAACCCTTTGATCTCAAATCTTTTTTCAAACTCATTCTCCTTTAGAATCTCTCCAACTGAAAATGAAACATCTACAAAACGTAAAACTCATCCTAAAACAGCTATCTGTAATTACTCCTTCAAGAGAATACTGCACTTTAGAAGTCACATGTTCTACACAGTATAAAAGCCTAATGTTGTAAAAATTATGTTAATGAATAAAGTAAGTGAATTGTCAGATTTTTTTTTTTTTTTGTGTGGGGCCTGTTTAGTATCTTCCCCACTAACACTCATAAATAATTCCAAGGACATAAAGTACTAACCGTGCATTATGTTGTGTGGTCTGAGGAACAACAGCCTGACATATATCAGGGACTAACATTTCTTTGGAAACTTGCTAAGGCTTTGGCTGCAAAAATCTTTGTACGTTTTGACTGAGTGTCATGCTGTGCAGTTATGGTAAGTGCTGCTTGCTACTTTACCAACATCACAGTGACGTGAATGGTTACTCAGATTGCTGAACAAAAAACTAAAAAAACAAAAAACTATTTTAAGAAAGTTGCCACTTTGCTACCGTAACAGATTAACAGGATTATAACGCGAACCTGTAATTGTTTATTTAGGTAATAGTCTACTTCACTATTCCTGGGTCTTATCATTACTTAGTAATGGAATCTCACTGATTCATAGAAAATGTTACTGGGTGGATATCGTCAGTCCTTTAACCCAGTTTATTTTAGAGGCAAAAAGATAGATTTCTTTAACCATGTGACGTAGTTGATACCATAAGAAATATTCTATTATTTCTTTCCAGGAACAAATTAATGTGACTGTACTAGTGTGCCTAGAAACTACTCTGGGATTCATATAGCAATACTCCGCCCAGAATCAGCAATAATATATGGGTTAAGAAATCTAAAGAAAAGTCAGAGCTATATAAATGCATGTGGATTAATCCCTACACATTGTTACTTTGATAGTAAGTGCTTTGAGACAGGATTCACTTTAGTCAGAATGCCTATGGCAGTAGCTTACAGCTTCTATATCACTGGGAACCACTAGCTGCTAATAAAAAGGTTGTGGTAAAGGTAGTGAAGGAAAAAACACCATCTTGAAAGCCACCGCAGAAGAGTCTGCACCTTCGCTAGAAAATTTCAGGAATGCACAAATCAACAAAGGCTGAAGATCTTTTTGCCCTATCAAAACAGTACTTTTGTTCATAAAAATGATATTAAAAATGGAAAGAAAAACTCCTAATTCTGATGAACTGTGCCCTGCAACTCTGTTGTTAGTGGTTTTGTCAATGTTATTTGGGTGAGGCGTTAGAGTATGACCTGGGAGTTTGGATCCCCCTGTAAACAGAAAAGCTAGGAAAAGGACAGGAGTTAAACATCAGAGGGTATCTTTCTTTCTCTACCTGTTGCACTGGTTTAAACAGAGAGAGGAAATTATTTACAGGCTTATATGTCACATTTCTCATTTCATATTTTTCTTATGTCAGTAATTTACCATATTCACCATTCATTTGCTTACCTATAAAATCTGCTCACCAGGACCTCACTGGAGAATCCCATTCCTCCCCAAAATTGAAGACAACTGTCAGTCACTTCACGGGCCAGACGACCTGCCTTAAGCTTAGCCATGGAGGCAAGTTTGGTCACATCATTGCCTTCTAGATAGAGAGCTAAAAAAACCCAAAAAACAAACAGAAAACACAGAGAAAAACAAACAGAAAAACACAGGGTTGCACACACAGTCCCTACACACACTGCCATTTGTCTCCCCATTTGTTCCTTTTTAAAGACCCTGGGAAGGATTGTTACATTAAGAAAAATGCGTCTGAGAAGACGGGTGTGGAAGCTCACCAAGAGTGCGGTAGAGCAGCGAGCGAAGGAGTTCCACCTCTGTTGCCAACTCTGCCAGGCGGAAATGCACTGTTTGGTTATGAAGCACCGGCTGACCAAAGGCTACTCTCTGGCGAGTGTAGTCAATAGTTTCTCGTATTATATTTTCCAGCGCTGTCAGGACTTCAAAAAAAACAAAGTATAGAACAACACATTGTTTTAGTCCGAAACCGTATCTTGTACAAACAGGACATTGTTCTTTATTTGTTTGTTTGTTTTTTGAAGTGAATTATTCAATAAACTCAGATTGGGATGCCTAGTTTAAGTTCTTGCAAAACATCAGTCATTCCCATGTACCTTGAAGACAAGTTCTTTGCAATTAACAGATGATTTTACACCCCAAACTGACAAAATTCAGAGAGAGAGGGGGTGTGAGGAACAGGGAGGAAAAGTATTAGAGAGAAGTACTCCTGATGGCAAGTATGAATACTTTATTCTTGGGGCTTTTTATCATTTGAGGCTCTACCAAAAGCTTGTGACAACTCCTGCTTTTCAGGCTCCCTATGTTCCAAAGGTTTGTTACAATCCCAAAAGAAAGTCTGAGATACCTAGTCTGTTCACTGAGGAATGCAGTAGGATGTACATTCAGGAAGTTTTCATACAGTAGAAACCTATTTAGGTTTCACGAATAGGCTGTTCAGTGTATTTGCATTCTGTGATCCAAAATTGCCAAGAATAAAGGAAGGGGGAAATACTAAGCTTCATAGTCATGTTCAGTAAGTCCTAAACTGGGCTTTTCGTGGAAACAAAACCAAAGTAGGAGCCAGCTGGAAGACAGATGAGAGAGGAGAAAGGCTGCTTTAAAGCAAGATGACTAGTCCAATGCAATTGTTTTGAGCAACTTTAGAGAGACTCTGTTTTGAACATAAAGAAATAGGAAAAGAGTTTGCTTTTCAAGACAAATTAGCTACCATAACATCAGATAGAGAAGAATTTTGGCAAATGTGGAATTGTGGTTGTTATGGAAAGCAGTAGGGAGAGCAGAGAGAATTCACAAATCCATCTCTATGACAGTAATGGCTCTTCCAGTTTACCTACATAACAGTGCCTTACAGAATTCCTCTGTGCTTCTAGAACCCTGTGGTTCTTCCAAGGACAGGTCCTTCTTCAAAGGACAGACCTATAAACATAACTCTAATGCAGCAAAGCTTAACTGTGCAGCAAACAGCAATGACATCCAATATGCCATGAGTACTGTGAGTGACAACAACCTTGTACAACATAATAGCATATTGTAATTCATTAATCATAAATACAGAGAAATACCATTCTTAACAGAGAAATTCATTTTCTCTCTGAACTTCTTTTTTTTTAGTATATTCATATATTTGTTTCTTCTTTTGTCATATAATCTTCTCCACATCCATCCAGTTTTGGATCCATTGGTTTTTGACTGACAACACATGCAGGAACTAAAATTCTGGAGTGGCCTAAGGACAAAACAAGCCTCTAAACACCACAGATCTTGAAGATCTTCAAGTTCAAAACCCTGCAGTTGTCAAAAGTAGAAAAATCTTTTCCTTATACTCCCATCCAACTTATATTTTCACATTTGAATTTTCTGCTCACTGTAAACATAGCTTGCCTTGCTATGTTTCTTCTTAAAATGAAAGGAAATTAAAACATTTTTTTCTCACAATGCTGCTGATCACTGTCTAATGAGATGCACAGTGGACTGCTGTCCCCACTCAACAATCTGTCTCTTAAAGATGTGGGCTATCCATGCAGAATGATCTGTCATCTTGCTTTACTGGCCATGACTCAAATCTACTTGAGAAAATGAAACTACAGAAGCAGCTAGAAGTAATTAGAAAAGTGACATTCTACTCTCTCGTATGCACCAAACTCTCTCTTTGTCCCCAGTTAAGCAATTCACAAAGATTGTTTGCTTTCTTGCCATGCCAACATCCTTTTACTGTCATCAGTGTAAACTACATTTACTGAATGCCCCAACATGTAGACAGATGTGGCAGGGTGCCTTTTTTTTTTTTTTTTTTTTTTTTTTTAGGAAACACAGGAGTTTTTACCAATGCCTTTGGTACATATCACTCACTAAAAAAGATCATATCTGTGATCAAATTTTCAGTTGGCAGAATAAGATTCTTGAAAAATTAAAAGCTTGAATAAAAACCCTTCCGGGAAATTTGCTTTCCATTTCTGCTTTAAATTTAAATTGGAAATTAAATTAAAACGGAAAATGATTTAAACAGAAGGGAACTCTTCACACATGTTTTAAGGGCTGGCCACAAAGAAGAAAATTAACAAAGGGAAGGCAGGTGAAACTTGACACAAAAGTACTTCTAAAAAGAAGGAAAAAAAAAGAGAGAGAAAAAGGAAGAATTGCTGTAAATTTGGGAAACAGTCAAAGCAAACATACCAGGATTTGTCCTTAAAGTGCTTAAAAGCAGATTGATGATTTTCAGCATTGAATGAGTAGCCATGAAGGGAAGGAATAGAAATGAGGGCCAGAAATGAGGACTAGGAATACACATGCTGATCTAATCCTGAAGCTGCTTAACACAAATGCTTAGGGTTAAATAACACAGTTTTCAGCAAAACATTTATAGTTAAGCATATGCAAAACTGTCTCTCAAACTGGAGTGTAAGAATGCTTGCAATATTGTGGTGTAATATACTCTGTTGATCAAGCACCTCGTTCCCTTCTGAACATCAGTTACTTTCTTTTTCTTGCTTGCCAAAATTGACCTAAAGTCTGGGCTTCATCCCTGCTCCTGTTACCTTCATATAACATCTAACAGTCAATAGATAAAAAACAAAAATAACCCAGGAGGACAAAGCAAGGCCTGGTTCCTTGCCAGTGACCACAGAGCTGCAGGATCAGGCTTCACCTCCCTTTGCTACCTCCAAGCGCTTCCATTCCAGCTGCGCTCGGCAGGCTTCCTCAGGAGGGGTGACAGATGCCCTTCCCAGATTGCTCATCTAGAGGAGAGGTTAGCCAGCTCTTACAGTGTTGTTCTGGCTGAAAAGGAGAATTGAAACGTGGTGTCCCACTTCCTGAAAGCGCTCTTTACTGCCAGGCGATTATGCAAAGTTGGACAGCACCAAGCTACAAGTGGTTTTTAATACAAGTGATCTAACCTGCTGTGCTTTGTGTCTTGATGCAGTCAGTGTGCGTCAGACTTGCTAGGAGCATGACTAACACAGCAGGTTTATCCACTGCCTGGCAGAAAGATGCTTAGGGAATGCCACTGTTGGAATTTTTGATCCTGTTGTTTGTTTGAGATCCCAAATCAAGTATACACATCTGCAGCTAAGTCCTTACCATCTACATAAGCCCTCATTGTATTTCAGAGGGCAATTATTAAACTCTCTTATTGCTTTGATATGGCAAGAAGCTTGACCAGTCATGTGTACAAGAAGAGGTGAAGTACAGCTACTTGCCCTGGAAGGTAATTAGCACAAGACACAAAAAACTATGTAAATTAAAATAAATCCTGACAGTGAGGCCAAACTTTCTCTTCCTTTCATAAGCTCTCCTAAGGTGGCATGGTGACTACTGTTTAATAGTAGCCACTGATTGGTGATAAAGACAGACATCTTTTTATTTTCATTTTGATGATGCTTATGGAAAAATGACATGACAAAAAGTGTCGTGCCCTGAAGAACCTGATCTAACTTTGAAGTCAGCCCTGTTTTCTACAGGATAGATGACCTGAGGTCCCTCCAAGCAGGATTACTATCTGAATGTGCAGCCCACAGATAAGCTCTGACTGCAGAGTAAGCCAGGCATGCAGAGATCTTGGTTTGAAGAGCTACTGCTCCGTGCAAGCAGCAATTCAGCATGAGCACCCAGCCTGCAGCACAGGTGCTGCTCTGCTAACCTGGGCCAGCCCAGCTGGCAGGATGCTCTCAGAAGCACCAGACTCACTAGACACACTCTGGAGCACTGATCTGTGCATGGGCAGTAGCTGTTTGCGTGCAGTTTCTAGACATGCAGAATCAGCCCAAGTTAGTCAAATGTGGGGACAAATTTGAGAAATGCTGTAGCAGAGGCCTCTCTGTGTGAGCAAAAAGGCCTGAATATAATAGGATGGCCATGCATTCGTAATGATCATCTAAAAGAGATCTATCCCTTCTAGGAACATCCATCTTCTCAAGTAGAGCAGAACAGGAGATGCTGACTGCGCACAGAGCGTCTCATCCTTGAGTCTGTGGTTGAAGCACTTCCCTTGATACAGTTGTCCCCGTTCATGCCTTTAATATCAGAACGAGCTCATATCAAGCTAAATGGAGCAGAATATCCCCCCCATCTGGTAAATGTCCTAAGCAGTGTGCAATAGTAGCACAAGCAGTCATGCCACATCTTGCCAGAATCTGGAAAGGCATCCCTTAGAAATCCAATCTCTCGCTCTCTGCTGAATTTTCCCCACGTGTGCTGTTTAGCTCAGGCTGAACTAAGAATTTTGGCCCAAAACAAAGACATTTTTTAAATATCTGAACTCCAAAATATTTAGTCTGGGACCAACTCACAACAACCTTTTTTTTTTTTTTTTTTTGTGACTGAATCAGAAAATCAGCTCTTACAGTTCCTAATTCTCAAACTACACAGACAGTAACAGATACAATATGCATGAAGGAGTACAAATATTTCAAGATTAGCACAACTCTAAAATGTAACCAACTTCCTTACATTGGACCTCTTTATACTTCAATTAAACCAGTCAGTATTATGGGAAAAAATGCTGGAAAGGATAATCCAAACTTGGATCTGGTATTCTGGAATATCCAGAATCTGGATAACTCATATATCTCCATTTGAAGATGTCCTGAGCTGAGAAGACCAGGAATTCTGTAACAGTGTAACTTCGGGGAAAGGAACAGGATGGGGCACGGGATACATCCAGTAAGTACAGAGGTAAAACAGTAGATCTGCAAAAACAAAGCTGCCTGTACACAGCCATTTTAATTTATTAAAAAAAAATAGAATAAAGATAAACATCATAGCTGACTAGTACAGGAAAAGGTCTCTTCCATCTATTTCATAGCGGTATTTTGATCAACTTTGCACTACTTTTGAAGCCCACAAAACACAATACTGCATTTTCTTATCAACTGAAGATGCCAAGAGAAACAAACAAAGCAAAACCAGACATTATGAAGCCTCACAGATGATTTTCTTTCTACTTCACATTTTCCTGTGAAAGGGAAAGGTTGTCCATTTATAGACTATGACAGATTGAAAAAATAAATCCAAAGAAGTAGGTATATCTTGCAATAAAAAGGAAGTGCTCTTAGTCATTTTGTAAGATTGACTCCTGTGTCCCTGTCAGCCCCAGAAGTGAAAGCGATGACTTACCAGTGGCTACTCCCCACAGCCGCTCTTCTTGGAATTGCAACATCTGATATGTAAAACCCATTCCTTCCTCACCAATGAGGTTTTTGCTGGGGACTCTTACATTTTCAAAAATGATCTGATTTGTGTCTGATGACCTCATGCCCAGTTTGTCTATCTTTTTAGTAATGTGAATGCCTGAAAGAAAAGAGATATTAGAAAGGTCATAAAAAAAAAGGAGTCAGATGTGTAAGTGGATGTCTTGAAATCATGCACTATTTATTTGCTTGCATTTGACTTGTAATGCACTATAATAAAATGCTGGAATTCAACTTAAGAATACTTATTGCGTGCATGGCAGTCAAACAGCAAAGAAATATTTAAGAAAGGCAGGCATTAGAATTACGTTTTAAGCTGCAATTAGATATTTTTTATTCCTGGAAATCCTCTTCCTTCTCCCTTTTTCACTTTTACCCTATACTGATCTTCAGGTATCAGAATACCTGTAGAAGAGACAGTCTCAAACAAATACACCTCTCATTCCTAATAACAAAGAGGTTAGACACAAATTAACAAGTATCAAACAGTTCCAAATCAACCGCAAGTTTTGATAAACCTAAGTATTTTATGACGGCATACAATATAGTCCATTTAAATAGCCACAGGAGGGGTTCAATGATCAAGTCTGACTCCTTTGGAGTTTTTATGTGGTCACCCTTGCAGAGAGGATTTGCCTCCCCAACAGGTTTACATATACAACATAGATTCTTACACAGTATGCAATGGTCTGTTGTACATGATTCCTGTATCCTCAATTTCTGCAGAGGAATCAGTCTCCTTCTGAGATTTCAGAACTCCTCCAGATTTGGCCACAAAAGACTTAAGCTACATAATCACACCAAGTAGATGCATCTTCATTTTTAACTTTCTTTTCCCCTCTTACAACTTCTGCTTGCTGTTGTTCAGAGGCAAGCACCGCTTATCACTGCGCCATGATGGTTGAACAGACATCTACTGATTTTTGTAATAATTTCCTTGAAATTGGTCCTTACCTCCATGTTGTTCTGGGATTAACACATTAAAATTGTGGGTGGAAGGTAAGAATGCCTCAGAGGTAAACTGAGGCCAGCAGCCAGTTAGGAGGATTTGCACAAAATATTTTACTACATCTGCCAAATCAATATGTAGAAAAAGAATCATACGAATCAGCATATATGTCTTTTTTGGGGAGGGAAAAAAAAAAAAAGCAAGCTAAATACAGACATGGTCTTCTAATCATTGCTTTGATGGAACGAGATTTGGGTATTTATTTCCTCTTTATTCTATCTTTTGCAATCCTCTACTAGTCTCTACATAGCTTAGTTGGCTAACATACAGACTGTAGACCCATTCTGCACTTATTTGATCCCTGCTGTCTTACATGGATTTCAGTGAACTTCTCTTTCTGAACTAATACAGACATCTCAGCTCTGTATTCTATTGACAGGAGGCCTTCAGCCTTGTGAGAATTACTTTGGCTCTGCAGGCAGGAGCAGCTGGCAGTCATTTCCTTTAAATTTATCCTCAATGACAGCACTGAATAAAGTACAGAAAGTTTCATCTTTTAGCAAATTAGAGATGAAATACTGATGCTGTTTTCAAATGCCAAGACTACTATTAGGAGCAAGGTCCACATTGACTTCTAAACCTTTGGCTGAGTGTTTTTCATTAAGAGTGACTATTTAAGCTAATATACAAGCAAATCATACTGTGAATACTTCCTCTGGTACATGCTCAGTGCAGAAAGAAAATCAGGCCAGCCCTATAAAAATCTTTGACTCTTGGATTGAAAATTATCCAGCATCTTGCATGCAGTCTGGCCAAAAAAGCATTTCCAGTTTGTTTCTATATTAAAATCAGAGCAAAAGAAATAAGCACTGAACCATTTACAGGTCAAAATGAGTTTTGGAGCACCTTTTCCTGGTGGAATATTATCACTTGTTTTCTTTGAGAGTCTTCGAGATCATGTCTTTGGTCTACTTCCAGCTGTTTTTATGTAATCACTGCTCCTAAACTGTACGAAGATGTACTTAAGCCTCTTTTTTACTGGGCACTTTATTGAGGACTCCACTGAAACAGCTGCAACTATCAGAGGTTCTTTATTTTGCCAAATCAACCTTATCATGCCCCAGACCCACATATGGCAGCTATAAAATATTTTTTGCTAGAGGAGCTTAATGTGTTGATGATTTCTTGTACCTGTTTTTTTTTTTTCCAGATGTGGTTTTTGTTCAGATTTTCTAAACATGACAACATTCCTGATTTGTTCTGCCTTATTAGTTTCACTTGCCCCTAGATTAATTCACATTTCTCACTCAAAAAGAGGTCAAACTTTATCAGTTTCTCTTTTTTTCAGTGTACACTTTACTTGCTTTTTTGAATACACTTAAACTTAGTAGTCTTCCTGGCTATGATGATGACAGGGACATCAAAATCCTCTCTTACTTAAATTGATAATTTTAATGCTTCTCATAGTGGGATATTATACACAAAAATTTATCACCAGCAGTAGAAATCTGCCTGGATAAGTCTTGGCATTTATCTGTATTAAAGCACAAGTCAACCAGTAGCCCATATTCTCCAGCTAGCAAGGTCAAGTGCCTGACTTTCCAATATTGCTAACGGAGCCCTCTGTGCTATTTGTTCTAGTATCACTGAGATGGATTGCTATATCTCTTCCTGGGTAGCTTTTCCCAGGTGTCCTTGGTTTTTCATTTTCCCCACTCTGTCTTCTGACAATCTTCTTTATTTCCTTTATTCTGTCTTGAGAAAAAGGCAGTTGCTCTCAGCTGCCACCGTTTAGCGCCATTACAAATGGAAAGAGACACATTTTAAATTGCCACCTGAGAAACATGCTCTTTCCCCCTTTTCTGAACATTTCTCTCTTTTTATTATCTCCTCCTTGCAATCTATTTTAGTGCTATCTGAGGACAAAGTAGTACACAACTGCATTCCAGATTAGGGCTGCAAGTCATTTGTTTTACCATACCTTATCTGGCCGTATTTATGCACAGACATTTTATAACCCCTTATATTCTCTTTCATCTCATATGAAGTGGCATATTTTTAAAACATCTTTAAATAGTCAGGGTACTCATCTGATTAACGTCAGTATCTATTGTGCGTCTACACCGGAGTGATCCTGAGATACTGCATTCAGCAGTGTCTGTCAAAACTAGACTATATTAACTTCACCCCAAAGCAGACTCTGTATGAACCTCAAAGTAGAAGAGGGAAACCCCATTTCAGATCTCCAATAAACTGCTGGCTGTAGAAGTTAATACTTTGAGTTAGATTTTTTTTTTCCTTGAACATGGCGTTATGCCCGCATGAAACACAATTAAGTTTTTCACAAGAAATTCTGGATTACTCTCCCACATCCTTTCAGCTGCTAGCAACAAATATGTTGCAGCTGTGCTGTGGATTCCTTCCTCCCCTTGCCGTATATACGAGTGACTGCAGCAGTTAGTCAGACGTAACCCGCTCGTTCTCCATTGCGCTCACTCTTGAGCTTTGACATACGTGCGTCTATAGACACTTAATCGTGCATCATTCTGTGATGCCGTCTACACACTTCCTGTACAGGCTTGGTCTGTTGCCTTCTAAAGAACATGGTATTTGGCAAACAGACATCCTTAGGATGTATCAAAACAGCTGGAGCTTCCTCTTCAGATCTATGTCAAATGGCAGCCTTTTCCAAACTTTTCCTTTTTTATTTTATTTTTTTTTCAAACTTCCTTTTTCAGAAGTTCAGCAGTCTTTGTACAGTGAACTTTTCAAAGATTCACATCTTCATCATATAGAAGAATGAACATACACAATTTACGTTTCTAGGAAGATTTCCAAATCTCTGTGTATTACCCTCACGTGGCTCAGGCAGTTTTTCTGCTCACAATCTAATTACCACAATTTCCTTCCACAATGAATTAGAAACTGGAAAACTTGGGAATTAGAAAACTCCAGGGAAAATCTCTTTATTAAGACAGAGTTAGGGGTATTCAGTTTTGTTTTGTGTCCTTCAATAATGCTGAAAACCAAACATGCAGGAGTTAAAACTGTTCAAAATTTAATTTGATAGCTAGTAAACACATTGTAATATTCCCTGTCAATACAACCTTAACTCTATCCTTTATGTATACACAATACCTTGCTACTGCAAGTTGTGCAGACAACTCAGGAGCCGCCCTGTGGTCTGTAGCACTGAACCTCTTAGATCAGGCTCTATTTTATCAGTTTCTTTTATCCATAGTTCAACGACAAGCCTCTACTTCCAAAATTTCAGAAGTTTTCACTCTGGCCTACATTTAACTCCCTCATCATTTTGTAACTTAAGCTGCTAATGATGGCAACCCCTGGTAAAAATATTTCTCTTTTTGTTTGAGCTTATTGATGAAACCAACATCCTGGAAAATACCTGTGCTTCTTTTCAACCATCCCACCAGTTTAGGTGGAGGAGCATGGTTACCCGAAGATGATCAGGGCTCTTAATGCAACCACAGCATGGCTTAACAGTCATTCAATACCATTCAATAAAGGTGGTCAGTGATCCCAGACTGGGTGAGATGCTTCCTGTGGACTGCTGGGAGGCAGGTGCCAGGGATTAAGATAGTGTTGGGAGACTATTTCCCCGTATTTCCAAAGCTTAAAATCTCTGAACTCCTTATGCTCTTATTCTCACAGGTTTGAAAACCACTTTTGAACATTTTGGGAACAGATAAGACAGCAGACTTAAACATCTTGATTTACTGAAAAAGAAAAGTATATATTCTGTTTGCCAATCCTCATTCAAAAAAGGAAAGAATGTAATGTTATTTTTGAAAGATAAATTAAGAGCATTTCACAGTTCATATGTAGCAAAGCTCCCTATGCGAATAAATTAATATTTGTTTTGAAAACTGCAGTTTATTGTCTTTTGGCAGAAAACTATGATAGAAGTTTTGTGGAACTTCTTAAACATTAAAAGATGCTGAATGTTATAATTTTTAAAATATCTTTGGATCTCTTTGTAATGATTTCTTAGACATTAATTTTGTCATTGGCAGTGGCTTAACTTTATTCATTTTCACATAAGGTTATGAAATACTCCCATGCATATGTATCTGAGCAACTTTTCTAAAGTTATTTTGGCAAAAAGAGCTCTCCATTTATAATCATTTAGGAGCAAGAAGCCGAAGTCTGCAAAATATTTAACTTCCTCCTCATTTCCTCCTGTTCCCCACTTTTTTGTGGAAATGAGTTGCATTTATGAGTTGTATTGTGCACACACACAAAAACACAATAAAATTAAATTAGAAGAAAAAACATTCTGTGTTATTACCAGGTAGATTCATTGGCAGACATATAAGAGATTTATTTCTATGAGGAGGTCCTTTACTGGTATTCGCCAGCAGACACATCCAGTCTGCTTGAGACCCTGATGTAATCCACATTTTACCGCCATTTATTATATACTCATCGCCTTTTCTCTCAGCTGTTGTCTTGATACCTGTTTCAAAAGATAGGAAACTAAGTGTTATTCCTGTGAAGGAAGAATAAGATAACCTCCATATCACCTCTTGCTCTCAGAGAGACAGCTGATATTCACCCCTCTCTTTAAGCCCTCCAAGTCCCCTAACCCTTCCAGTCTGTGAGAAGTAGATCTTTTTTACAACCCACTTTGAACACACCAAGGAAATAATACAGTTTCCCTCACTCTCCTTTAGGCAGGGTCTTCACACTAGTTGATGAAAGTAGAAATCCTTCCATAAGTAAATTATACCCTCAAAAACTCAGGCCAGAAATATTTCAGGCTGAAGTGATCTATTATGTGTTTCTGCTACTGTGTACGTTAGTCACCAAGGATGCCATTCATTTCAGAGTCCCAGCTTAAACAAACATAAGCCTCAGTATGTGTGTATGCCTAAGGACACACATACACGCACTTCCTGCACCTTCTAGGTCAGAACAGAGTAATAATTCAAAGTTAGTAAACTTCGACAGGGACCAAGTTCAAGAATGTCTATACATGAAAAGGCTCTAAATACCTCCTACTTGTATCGTGCCATAAAAATGGCATTTTCATTTGTCAGTGTTCAGATCACCCTTCAAATAGCCATAGATGCAAAAGACGGCAGGAATGAATCATTAGTTATTATTTATACTTTTTAAAGGCTGGCTTCTTTCCCCTGACCAAACAGTTGTCATAGAAGCATTGTAAATTGAATTTCTTGAACTAAAACCCCAGCTGAAGTGACTCTCTAACACATGCTCGGCTGTAATAGGTGATGGTTAGAGAAAAAACAAGCACACTCCCAATAACACCTACAAATCTAACAGGACTATAAAGTCCATTGGAGTGAATTTTACTGAATTGAACTGATAAAATGTATTGAGGGAGTCAGGAGACTTGGGAGAACAGGAGTCATACAAAATGGGGTGGGCCAGCATATTTAAGTCAGTTGGTTATGCCTTCACACACACTTACCTCAAAGACTCTGAACTCAGAACAAAGCAGAACCAAGAACCTGGGATTCCTGGGAAAACTGTGCAACTGTGTAAGATGAGGGAGATGTGGATAGAGCTGCAGATAAAGGAACTTACAAGAATGAACAGCAAGAGAAGGAGATAATACTAATGCTGATAAAACCAAAAGCCGTCTAGCAACACAGTCAGTGAAAAGATTATGCCAAATCTGTCTAAAGGAATTGGTATGGAATCTGTATGATAATGCAAACCAACAAAATAAAATAATCCAAAGTTCTGATATTTGCTTTACACGGACACAGACCCTGGACAATAATATAGACAAAGACTAAATGATATATGGAGGACACATATAAGAGCTGGAATAAGAAATACGACACTGAATCAAAGTAGGGTAAAAAGGAAAAAGGATTTGGGGCATACACCAAATGATTTAGATCACAGATCCCTTTGTTATGGAACAACTAATGCAAAGCTGCTGCTGAAGTCTCAGGGAAGGTCTGAGGGGGAACACTGAGAGCTTCAATGTTATCAGAAAGATAAATAGTACTCAGCGTCACAGGGGACTAACTTTCCACACACAGATTAAAGAAAAAATGCCATTACTAATGGGAGTGTCCAAATACGCCCTGATGTGACAGTTGACAATTTGTTTCAAATACTTGAGGAATCACTATTTTAAAACAACTCATTATGAATTGATTCTCTTAAATTAAAGGAAGCACGATGGAGTGAATAAGTTCTATGTTTAAAATATAGTAGGCTTTTAAAATCTACTTAATTATTTATTGAAGACATATGGATTCAAAATCTCAGGGTTACTGCTGTAAAGAAACTTTGGCATAATTGACTATAATTATTCTCCCTGATAGATTCTGGGAAAAGGCCACATCAACAAATATGCCATAAAATATTTTTAGCGTGTCCGCACCACTGCTACACACATCTCAATAGCTTACAGATCCTGTTGCACTGGTCTCTTTCACTAAAGACCACAAGGTTTTAAAAACATATCAAACATCTAGGGGCAACTAAGCAGCCAGGGCTGGTCCAAAGAATCCAAACTGTGGCATACTTGATCAGGTAGTACAGTCATATGACTTTTGATTGCAGGCATATATCTAAATAAATTGGACACAAGGGAAGTCCAATTTTAAATTTTAAGGTCAACCTACCAGGTGATCAATACATACCCATATCACATAAGTCAAATATGTAAAACACATCTTTGGAATTTATATCATCAGAAAAGAGGAAAAAATGAACGAAATGGCTCCAAAATCTACCCAAAGGGGGGGGGGGGGAGGAAAAAAAAAAAAAAAAAAAAAAAAAAAAAGTAAGAACTGTGAACTGCCACAAGGGAAATTGAGCTAAATCTTGAAGATGAGAAATGACAAATTCCAAAAAGACTGAGAAGGTCAGCTAAAACATTTCAGCCACAGAAACAAAAAGAGAATGAGGAAAAATAAAGGTATCTCTATAGGATGGCTCAAAATAAAACGAACTTTACGCATGAAATTTCAAAGCAGATTTGTAATGTAGCTGACAAAGCAACTCTTGAACAGGAAGGAGAGTACAGAAATTTAAAGGTAGTAAAAGCAGAGGCCATTGATTTTCACAGATCTTCACAGCTTCAGCATATATTTGGAAAGAAAAGAAAATTTATTTTATCAATACTAACTCAAATTAACCTGATCTGTTATTAGGAAACAGATTCTGGAGGAAACTAGAATAAGAAACGGACCCAATCAAACTAAAATATAATATGATTAGGTAATTATTATGTAAAATGTTGAAAAGATGAGAATTAGGACAAAAGTGAAATGTGGGTAAGTAGAAATGTGGGTAAGTAGAAATGTGAATGTGTTTGTGGAAACAAAGGGAAAAAAATCACGTCATGATGTATCAAATGAGGAAGTGCTGGTATTCAGGGAACATACTAGTGGAGTTTCTTATTTCTTGTTTTTTGATTCTGGAAATAAGTCTTTGGATGAAAGCTATTGAATATGTTCATGACCTTCTCAATAAAAATATAAATACATTAAAGAAACACAGGGATAGGGAGGAATTAAGCAATTTTAAAGAGCTGAAACATCATGTGCAATTCTGATCACTTATGCTCAAGAAAGATAACTTAAAAAATAGAAAAGCAGAATTCCAGTGAGAGGGAATGGGGCAAGACACCTTATGTGGGAGAGGTGTAGATGAAAGCGGTTATTGGGTGAAGTTGCCTGGAAGACGTGACTTGAAAACATTGAAAGTCTCTTTCCCGATGTGTTCTTACATATCACTCACAGGCTATTAGTAATGCACTTATATAAACTGAGGAATAAGTGGTCCATTTCTTATCATTTAAAAGCATTGTAAGCTGGTTTCTAGAATTAATACCAGAGATCAGGCTCCTTCATGCCAGGTGAAAAAGCATCCATAAAACAGATGATGATGTGTTTCCTACTTTAGCAAAGTTCAAATTTAAAATTATTTTCATTTAAAACAAGGCTGTAACTACAGAATGTTTTTTCTTATGAACAAAACTAATTAACTAGAAACAAAAATGGCATTGGATCTTGCAGAGACTTAGCCTCATTACTATATTTATCCCCATGTATGCTCTTGAAAACTTCTTGTTTGTTGACAAGTCGGTAGATGTTGTACCCCTTTTTATATTAGAAAGACAATTTACACTAATATTTACATCTATGCTGAATGTGGGCCTCATTTAGCATAGTACCTGTTTATGCTGCATATTAATCTGTTGTGCTTAGCCCATACAGGATTATATCTGTTCATGCACTGATGGATATGTTCAATTTGATTGCTTTTAGATGCATCAGAGATGTGCTCCTGGAAATCACAGTATTATCCCATTGTGCTTTGACCACACCAAGCTTTTCCTTCCTGTATGCTTTTCACATATGCTAGCGGTAAGCAAACCTTTAGTAAAATCAGATTCTCTCGATTAGAATACCAGGGTGTCCAAAATTGGCAGTTTGCTAGGTTAGCTTACTTGCAACATCTGATCCAGTTCCAACTTCACTGATTCCCAAACAAGCCACAAAATCTCCAGCTATAGTTGGTGCAAGGAATTGTTTTTTCAACTCATCTGAACCAAATCTGCAGTAATATAGTGAAAAGATATGTTATTAAAAAAGTAAGTTTTATTTATGCATTTCGTTCTACCCATTAATAGAGAAAATAACTTTCCTATGATTAGATAAAGTCTCTCCCAGAGTCAAGACAGAAGAGATCCTCTTCAGTGGAAGGGGAGCTTTGATAGATGTGTGTGATTTCTATATAAATGCAGTCTCTAGGATTTCCCCTCACTGCTTCTCCAGTCTGCAGTTAGCCAGGATCGAGGGCCTCTGCTCCACATATTTGCTGACTTTTGTGCCAGGAACTCAATCTTTGCAAGGTTTTAGTGGTGATACTAGCATGTGCTGAGAAGTTAAAACAGGCGATGGTCACTCTCTGCAAATATCAATGACTGAAGAGTATTTTTCGTTATTATTTTTAGTTACCCTGACTGATGCAGAGCGTAGTATATAATATTTCAGGGTTCTTTTCTTTCTTTTTTTTTCTTTTCTTTTTTTTTCTAATCCACATGATTTGAATGTAGGGAGTTCAGTCCTGCTCATGGAAGAGATCTGATGACCTGAGTAATTTTTTCACTCTTTCTGGCTCAAGATCTAGGCCATGAACTCACCAGTCACGTCATGGTGAGTTCAATTCATATTCCTGCCCCTGCTATTAGGCAATGTGACCCTCAAACACATCCCTGCCCTTCATCCTTGCCCCCTCTCAGCCACCCACCCCACCAAAAAAAGAGAAGTGGAAGGTCTCCTGTTCTTTCATGCAGGATATACTTTTTCTTATTTTTTGATATGATCAAGTATAGCCAGATGTACATTTAATTACACAAGAAAAACATGAAAACACAGATTATGAGAGGAGCTAGCAGCATTGCATATTAAGACTGTTTTGGCAATGTCTTCTGATGTTATTAACTTTGCCAAGGTTTAGTTATTCCATGACAAGAACTTGCCTCAAGATAATGTTTTTTGTTTGATATTTCTGTTTGTTTGTATTAAGTTCCAGAAATAAATTCAGTAGTTCCCAAAAGTGAGGCTGGGAAAAATGTTGGCGTGCCATTAAAAAAAAAAAAAAAAAAAAGTCTGGCAAGGCTATCTCAGAAGATCATGTATCGCTCTGTTTTTATGGAAAGGACATGTGTATTGGAAATGGGAGCATGGGACCTTTCCAAAGCTGTCTTTTGGAAAGGGGAGCTATTATGTTAGAAATATATTGTTCCTGTAAAATTCTACCCATCTTAAACATCCCAGAAAAAAATATCCACTTCTTTCCAGTTTAACGAGTCCAGAATTAGAAAATTAGGTTTTCAATGACATTATCCTCTGGTCCTAGACTGATTAGATTCTATCTGCTTTCTGGGCTAGGGCCATATGGCAAAGCCCAGTTTCCCAACTAATTACCTGTGCAGCTTTGGCATCCCTCCAGAACACATTTTCATGCATGTGTGTGTTTATAGATAGACACATACACACACGCAAATACACACACAGACATGAGTCAATAAATAGGAGTTTAAACAGAAGTCCTAAACATGACATTTTAAAATATGTTGCATGGAAGTAGTTTATTGTTTTTTGCTCTACACTTAATTAGTAACATTGGTGGAATGTCATGAATACTAACAAAAAAATGACAATGATAAATGATATTAAATTGGGTAAGCGGAAAAAAGAATCACAGTGAAAATACAAATTTAAAACTTTTCCTTGAGCCATCCAGATGTGTTTATGTGCTCTGACAACCAGAAATTGGAAGTCACCTTTACTCATTCTAAATAGACATAAAAATCTGTTTTTTTGACAGGTTAAATTGCTACACTGAATGAAAATATGTCTAGAGCACATCACTATTCTGACTTAATTGTGTTGATAATCATCCTGGTAGAACCACAGATCCTATTCACTTTTGTTTCTTATGCTTCTGGGAGAAGCAAAAAGCTGAACTGCAGTGAATTAATTCAATTAGTAAGGAAGATTCCGAGTACAGCTGGCATTGTACAACACAGTACCAAGTGCAAATTGAAGTTTTGAATAGGAGTGGCTGCAGGCACTATAGTGGCAAATAGCTTAGATCAGTGCAGAGTAAACTGGTCAAATAGAAAAATAATCTTTCCTCCAACTGATTATGGCTATCCTTAGTATCTGCTAGAAATAATGAAAAAAAATCAGGCAAACCTTGTTCCCAAGATAAAATTTCTACAGTGGTCTGATGTCATGATGGATATCACTCTAAGTGTGTTTAGAATCCCAGGACAACGTATTTTGTTCACTGCCTAACCTGACAACTGTTTTCTCCACATTAAAGGAAGTAAAACATTACATCTAGAATGTATTTGGAAAGTCTGACAGAAAGTTTTGTTCAAAATCAGATGCAAAGGCCAGACCACTGTTGACAGAACATTTTGCATTTTGTTCTGAAATTCACTTGAAGATGTACAGCCTGCTCCATTCTTTCCAGATCCCTTCAAGTGAAGTAAGAATATTTCCCCCCATTATTTGTCTGCACGAAATAAGTGAGACACTGTACTGCATAACTAATCAATGGAATTGACTCAATGGTGGTGGAAAAAAGCTCTCTAATGCAGACTCAAATCCAGTTGCAGATTTCACTGCGTTAACAACCTTTTCTCTTTCACTGTTTGAGAACACCCACTTTAAGATTTTTCTTGCAGAAATGCATGCAACCCAGCAACTTCAACTGCTCATTTAGTTGTAATATTCAAGTTAAAACCTGTAAGTTTTGGGATTTTCTGTCCAGAACTCTTTCTCAGAGTGTGCAAAAGCTACTTGCATGCAAAGCTATCTAGCTCTCCTCCAGAAGTGAAGCAATAAATTTACTATTTTCTCTCACTGAGCTTAAGAGCTGACATCCTATGCCATATATGTTGGTACTCTTGATGAATCTCACTTCTTTACTACTACAGTAGCATATGGCCCTTGCAAGGGAATGAAATCCTATGTTCTCCTACCTATTGTCTTTTTAATACTCTGGGAATAAAAGACTATCATAAGAGAGAGGAAGTATTCTCTAATGTTAAAAAAAAAAAAACCTTTATTCTCTGTGGACTCTAAATAAGTTACTGTTGCAACACAAGTAATGAACTCCGCATTGCCAACAGGATTTTGGTATATCACACCAGAAATAAAACTTTTAGAAATATTTTCCATGGCTAAGATCTCCAAATTTGCACGTAGGAAGGATGTGTAGAAGGATGGATAGATATCATGGGAATAAATAATTACTTCCATGCTCTACAGTTTTATTATTCAAAATTCTATTGTGTAGGTAAGTTTCTGACATCAGCATTATTTGAATTTAATCTCCACCATCACCTTCCAGAACTTTGAGGCATATCCTTATTCCAAGGCTGAAGTGCTAGACTAGTCTGTTTGTAGCCTCCTTCTAGATTTGCAAGCTGCTGTTCTGATGTAGGGTGCGAAACTACATAAGCAGGAGGAAAATAAGAGTGCAACTGCCAGAAGACAATCCGTCACTAGAAAAGAGAGGAGAGAGAAGAATAGGAAAAGAGGGAAAAAGAAATTGGATTCAGACAGTGCAGGGGTCTGAATGATAGCAGGTGATAATAAAGTTGAACACTGATGTAATACAATGTGCAAAAGCAAGGTGAGTAAATGCATCGAAAGATTAAGGGCCTATGTAGACAGCATGATACATGAGCTAGTTTTAGGAGGACTTACACCAATACTGATCAATATTTCTGAAAAATCACAGAGAAGAAACACCTCGTAAATTTGGGGAAAAAAAAAGTAAGTAAATTGTAAAATAAAATTAGACATTACAACAAAATATATTTTTGCCCTGAGACACCGAAGAAATAAAACCAAGTTGCAAACAACACAGATTTGTGAATAGGGGGATTCTGACATTAAGGTTGTTTTATTAGCTGCGGCACCAGTGTGCTGTGTGTGGAAACATATCATCTATTTTTTTTTAAAAGTCATACATCCTGATATTAAAAAAAGGATTATTCTTTCTTCTAAGTAGTAACCTTTCTGAAGGAGAGGTTCGAGAGCAGCTTCCTTTTTGAAGGGTTTCTGAAGAGTAACTAGCCATTAAATCTGTGCAAGGTTCCCTCCTACTCCTAAGGACATGACAGTTTGGGTTTTAGGCTAAACCAAACATTCAGAGAATTACCTTGTTAGAGCGGGTGTGCTCATGCCAATTTGCACTCCAATCGCCATCGGAATACCCCCACACCGGATATTTCCCAGTTCTTCTGCCACTGCAATGTTATACGAGAAGTCCAAGCCCATGCCACCATATTCTGAGAGAGAAAAAAAAAAATCTGTGACACCGGTGCTCGAGATAGGCTAAGGGACTTGCAAACTAGAATTTTACTGCTTATTTTTAAATATTTGACTATTATCAGTTTTCCTTTCAAAAGGAAATAATGCCACATTTTTCTGAAAAACAATAAACAATAAAACTTAAAATTACATCTGCTATAACTATCCATATGCATATCAGATCACTCCTAGATATGCTAAGTAGCATCATTACTTTAACTAGAAACAGCAGAAAAAAGATGAAGGGCTACTGAAAACAACATCTGTAGACAAAATTACTCTTTCTTGCAATGCGGTCATATGAACAAATTACCACAAGCTTAAGACATGCTTCTCTTCCTCCATGAGAGCCCTCCACACAGATGCTCTTGGTATGCTGAGCGGGAGCTAATGGTCCTTGTCCTGAGTCAGTACTGATGATGCCAGCAAAAAGCAATTGTGGCCACATGCTTAGGGTATCCCTACGGTAAATTACCGTTGTAGCTTGGAATCAGTATTTGGCAAAACTGGGATATCAAATGTGCATATTTCATATTCTAGCACCTGGATGCCATAGTCATGGGGACATTTTTATTGAGACGCGGATGACGCGCTGGGTGGTCAGGCACAAGCACCGATGATTCTTCCTCGCCATGTGCCATCCCACACACTCAATTAGAGAGGATGTTATTCCTCAGCTCCTTCCCCAGTCACACAGCAGTGCCCAGGGCTCATATAGTCAAACCATATAGTCCAACGCAGGAAAGCTCGACGTTTCTGTGGTAGACTAGGAAATTTCTAGCCATTGCAAGCAGTTCACATTCCAGAGGAAATACAGTGAGAAATCAAAGATTACTACTTGTCGTTAGTAGTTGATTGAGGAATTTTCATTGGATAAGGATCACCACCCCATCTTCCTGTTCTTTTTTAACGCATTTGAAGAGCAGGTAAGAAAACGTCCAACACAGATGCAATCCTCACTCCACAGTGGCACATATGGGGTAAATGAGCACCTGCCATCTTCACAAGCAAGCGTACTTGCTCACAACACACATTACATGAGCTCATCCCTCCCTTCAAAAAAATACCACTAATTAAAAATGAAACAGAATTCTTTATGAAATAACTACTTTTCAAAAGTTTCACATAAAAATAAATCATGTTTCTTGAGAATACATATAAAATTAAATTAAATTCCTAGTGGGAGCTTATGCAATACAGTGAAATAATAGCAATATGGAGATGTCTAACACAATATATATAAAACTCAATTCTCTTGTCTTCACAAAACCCTCGTCAATAAATAAATGGCCTAAGGAATGGTAAGCAATGCATGTACAAATAAAAGTAATGCTGTTTAAAAATTTGGTTGGTATAAGAATGTTTGCAAACTTTATAGCAGCAGTTCAGATTTGGATGGATTTTTCCGTTTTTTTTCCCCGCACAAATGAAAACCTTCATTCTTGTTTTTCCCAAAGTAATTTCAGAAGGGCAGTTTATCAACACAACTGACTCTAAGAAGGACCATTTTTTTTTTAATAAGTGTGCAGATTATATATATTCTTTGTTCATATTCTAATTCATGATGTGTTATTATGTAACAGACCTAATGCAGTTCTCTGAGATTAGCTACTAAACCGTACATTTTAAAAACAAAATGCTGCAAAAGACAGGGATAAATCCTGCCAGACAGAGAGGAAGAAAATAACATGAAGCCTCGGGGTGGGGTTGAAGAGGTGGGGGCCCTAACAGAGCACAGTGATGATGCACACACAAAGCAGCCACCTTGCAATCAGGGCAAAGATAACACAGGAGATGACCAATAGATGGAGATAGGGAGAAAGGCAGAAACAATCTGCAACATTAATCAGCATACAAACACCTAACTTGATGTCAATTTTGTTCCAGATTCCAAGGGATAAAAGATTTCATGAAGAAAGAAGGGAGGAAATTTGATGGATGATTACTGGAAAGAGCGTAGTCATGCCCACTGGACACAGCACTTGACAGAGACAGACAAAATGCCCTGTGCAGCTTTATCCCAGACTAACTTGGATAACTTTTATAACATGGCTAAAGACAAATTTGTCCCATTTGCGTCAATGCTTATGTTTCATTCACTGCAGTTGTCCTCGGGAATGTTGCGAGTTCCTGTTTGTTATCACAAGTTCTGAACTCGAAGCTAACACAAGGAAACAGGATCATTTCTATTTCCATTTACTTGAGCAATAAGTAAGAACATTTTATGAGATATGAATGTTTAAGATTTATTTGGAATGAGAACAAGCTTCTGTTAAGAGGGTTGTATTAACCAGTCCTACCAGCAAGCAACACTTCTGAGAAGCATCTGTACAATGAAGTATTAGCTTAGAGCAATAGCTTAAGCTAGTTTTCATTCAGAAAAACAAACACCATACAAAATATTTTTGGTGAAAAATCCACGATGAAAGAAATCAAATTAATATTAGAGTTGATTGTATTTTTTAAAATAACAAGCTATATGTAAATATTCAAATGTAAAACATTTCAAGTGTAAATATTTTGTATTACTCTAAATTGACATGTGTGGCTTCAAGAGAAATTGTTAGGCATATTTCCAATTTTAATTTTGCAGGAAATATTAAAACAACAAAGCCAAACAACACAAATCGAATGTGCTAACACATTAAAAACTCAAAACAAGTAGAATAAGGCAATCTACTATATTCAAAATGTTCATGCCTTGCTGAAAATAGCCCAACTTCCAGTAGTTAAACATAGATTCATCTAATATCTTGCCCATTATTCATGGATTTCAGGTTCTTATAAAAATAAATTAAGCATATTAAACAAACATAAACATAGCATATTAAACTTGCTTTTTTAAATTGCATCTGTGGTTTTCTGCTAACCACAACCATATTATTTGAACCTGAGGAAATGCTCAGGATGCTAATTTTATATGGAGCAACATATTTCTATGCTGTCAAGTTTGTGAAGAGGAGTTCAAGATAGAGCAAGTTTTAGAATTTTTTTTTTTAAGATACAGATGTACATTTTATCAAATGATTTAGGATATCAAGACATTTATATACAAGCATATACAGACAGCAAAGACAATGTCCTTAAATACAAAAAAAAAAAAAAAAAAAAAAAAAAAAAAAAGAGGTAAGAGTTTATCTGATCCTCAGCTGCAACAAGTCAAAACAGAAACACTGCTAAGAAAATCAGTGGGGAAAATAGTCAAGGACAAAAAAGAGTCTGCACAAAGGGACTTAAAAAGGCAAAGGAGAAGCTGAGGTCCTTCATATAACAACTCTATGCAGAGATCAAGACATTTCTTATGAATTGTTCACATACAGGCTCCCTGTTCAAAAATGACTGTGTTCAATGAGGAGACGGGTCTGGAGTGTTTAGTCCAAGTTTGAGAGTGAGAGTTTAAGCATGTCCCCTATTGGGAATTCATTTTCTGATCTTCATTTAGCAGCTCTCAGTTGGAATGACATCTTCTGTAGTGAAAAAAAGTTTATAAGGGAGTAGAAGCAAGGAAAATACGTGGGCCCTGCAGGGTATTTTAAGAATGTGAGCTAGCCTGGAAAAAGGAATAGTGAAAACAATATAGGTGCATGGTTACTCAATCTTTAATGCTATATTTTATCTTGTTTACTTAAATTCACACAACGTATATCTACCAGAGGAGATCATGCAGAATTATTTCTGGTATTGCCACATAATTCAGGGGAAAACACGCATTCTAATGATTATAGAAAGAAAATAAAATATGAATCAACTCTCATTTGGAAGACAGGTCTGAGAGAATCCCACATCTGACACCAAGACAACAGAGCTAATTGGCAGTTTTCACCATAACCTACAATTTTAAAAAAGCAGAAGCAAATTTTAAGTTTCAAACCTTACTCACCTGTCATAAAAATAGTTTAAGATTTTAAACTCCAGAAGACCAAAAGAGTCCTGGCATTACATAACGATATCATCAGTTTGTACAGCATATAAATCCTACCAAAATTCCCTTTCTGTCTTTTATGTAAATGCAAATTAAAGAATTTTTCCAAGTGTTTTTTCTTTGATGTTCAATTGGCAGCAAAGCCTTTGCAAAGCTCCAGATGATAAGCTCAGAAAATACATATTGCCTTCACGGTTTTTGCCTTTTTTCTGTGTGCAGTGAAAAAAAACCCTTCTCCTTTCATATAGCAAAACACTGTGATTCTACTTCAGTCTCACTCTTTTTTGCTTATTTGTTTTTGTTCTTTGGTTAATTTACCTGCACCACTCCACAGAAAGCCAAAGGAGAAAAAAAAAAAAAACCCACACATAAACACATATAAAAGACCTTGTACCAGATGCAAACTTCTCCTTAGCATACTATCTTAAACAGCAAGTTCTCTCAGTTTGACCCAAGTTAGAACAAACTATGGTGTTTTACAATTATGTTTAGTTGATCCTAGGAAGATCAGCACCACATACACTACTTGCTCCAAGACACTGACTAGCTGATACAAAAAAAAAATGCGAAGGAAGATAGGGATCTTTTCTAGTCCTAAGGACTTAGTCAGTGATATTACTCTTGTGAAGTGGTATTCTTTAGAAAAGGAAAAACTGGGATTTTCTGTTCATTCCTTTCAAACAGGTACAGTCAGCCAGAATGAGTAGACTCCTATGCCAATTAATGATGCAAATGGTGTGTTCCTGCAATACTCATTACTCTGCATTATAAGTCATCATTGTTACAGCTTCAGAGAGCAAATTATTGAGCTGAATAAGGTAATTGGAGCTGTCTAACACTTTTGCAGATGAGGGCAGAGCTATCCTGGGAAATACAGAGGAAATTTTCCTCACAGTGCAAGGATAAGAAACTTCCCTTGAAAAATACATATATTAACTCTACAAAACCTGTTATTGAGCAGACAAACTCATCACACAGATCAGGTCCTAGCTGAGGGGCCACAAAAATCTTTAAATAGGATTGAGGAGTCTAGGATGTTTTATTCTGGAAAGCCTA